TGTTTATTGTAATTAAGTCATTTACAGATTGTGTAAACAAATGTAAAAAGAAAAATTGAAAAAACTGTATATGTGATATACATCAAAATGGTTTTTTTTCTGTATGATGATTTCCTTCATAACTATTTTCAAATTGGTTATTTTTGTTGACAGCTTAGGAAACAAGCCCCATTAATAATACTTTTGACGTTTTATAGCCTTGTTTTTTTTTAATTTGATTAGGTATCGAAGAAAATAATACGTAATATTTCTTAAGAACATTGAAATATTTCATTTAAAAAAGCATGTTAGCAAGTTATTTTTATGTAGCTTCTATATCTACACGTTGTGACTAAGGGTAGATACCTACTTACAAACTTATTTATACTTTTAAATCAATAGTTTAAAAATATTGATAGCGGCATCGTTGTATAGCAGAAATCATTACCGACGTACCTATTATATTTAGGTCACAAGTCTAACGAAGGTTTTTTTTATTTTAATTAAACTTTGTTTTGATAATTAATCACAACATATATTACAACTAGTACAATAATTATTTTAATAAATTATGTATACACAAGTTCTTAATAGGTACCTATTTATACTTATAAAATTGTAAAATTATAAACCCTACTTAAAACTTTATTACACAGTTATTATTTGTTTAAATAACAATTTTGACACGTAGCTATTATTTTTTATAAATAACGTTCTACTAATTATAATGATTATTTAAAAAAATCATTATAAAAATTAAGTTTACCTAGTTTTATGTACTTACGTGCTTTGTATAATTGTAGATACATATATTGTTTATTAAACATATACAGGATGATTCAAAATTTTTAATGGAAAAATTTATTTGAACTAATATCCCGTATATTTATGGATTTTTGAATTAATTTGAATTTCAAAAGTACTCCCGAAACCCCTTCAAAAAGACGGTTAAAAAAATGTACGAATTATTTTAGATGTTTATTTATCTAAAAACTTTTGTATTATACATTTTTCTCTATTTTGATATTTACATGATAAAATTGCCGTAACAAAAATTTTGAATCACTCTGTATATTTATTTTTTTCTATTTCTCAATCTCTGATAGGTTATTTCACCTATAAGCGTTTTTAAAGAGCTGAAAACTTTTTTGACTGAAAAATATATACTATTGGTATATATATGTAAAACTATGTATAGTTATTGTATTGTAATAATCTGATGGTTTAGAAACTTAAAAGGTAACAATTGTAATAAATTGTTTAATGATACAATTTCAATTTCGAATTTGTTTCATATTACATCACCGGTTATATGCTTGTAGCCGATTCCAGTGATAATCCTGTGTATAGATATCTTAATTCGTGGTTATTAGTTTATGATGGTTGTGTTCACAATATTTATCCTGTCACTGTACCAACGCTGTCCGTCTGACCATGGTACTAATATTTGTCACTGGATATATACCTAATCAAATCGTTTGAATTTCAACAATGGAAAACCATTTGTTTTATTATTAAGGATAATAATATTTTCATTTTGCTGTCAAATTATAACTGCATTTATTTAATATTACAATAATTGTTGTTTAATATTAATTTTGATTTTTGTGTTTTATGTATGCTTTTTTTTGTTTACCTATCCTACCTACAAGATTTTTACTGTTTGTATTTTACAGTTTAACTGTTTGATTTTATCTTAAGTATTACTAATTAATAAACTTAATACTGATTTTATATGGGGAGAAATACAGCCTGCTCCCTCCTAATAACTTACCCCAGATTATGCCTATAGGTGAGCATATAGGACATGAAATATTTGTTTAAAAGAATTACCCAGCGTTAACGCTTGATGTTTTTTTTTCTTTTTAAATGAAATTGGTTTTATAATAGAGCTTGACACCAACTCCTCTTAAGCTATTCCGAAAGATGTATTCCGAAAGATGTGATTCCTGGATGTAATCTGACTTGAGGATAAGACTCAAAGGATTTGAATGATTTGCAAGGTGAGAGCGGAAGACACACATATATATATATATATTATATATAATGCCTATTATAATCGGGACCGTTTGCGTTTTTAATTATATGAGTGCAGGGTATTTTTTAGAATACAACAATTTTAGCAAAATACCGAAATGGTAATTAAATTAGTTGAAAAAAAAATATGTTGGACTATCTTACCGAAAATTGTTTGCTACGTTTTTGAAACAGGCTGTGCTGTTTTAACATTTTTCCAGACCAAGTTTGGGATAAAAACTAGAGAAAATAAAAATGGGGCCTAAGGAAAAACAATTTGAATGGATAAAAACGAAGAAGAAGAAGTATTTAAAGTTTCTGCCATAAATATTATATATAGATAGGTACACCTAATGTCACCACTATTTTAATTCGATAACGCTATTTAGAGGAAATTAATTTAAAATAATCGCTTTTGTAAATGTATTTTTTTGTAAAACAAGAAACGCAAAAAAATAAAAATTTAAAAATACAAAAAATGTATGTTGTTTGGTAAATCATTTTTTAAAGTGATTTATAATGGACACGCAACCCAAATCTTTTCACATATGTGTCATTTTCGCGATATAATACCTATAACATATTTGAACAACTTTGGTAACCTAAGTGCCATTACAATACTAGTATATAGTTTATAATATATTTATCCTGATGTATTATTATATATTATTATGTAAAGAGAATATTTTAAGGTATATATCTAAATGAAATATATTATAAATAGGTACCTTTGTTATAGCCATTTTCGTTTTTATGCAGAATACATTGCGTTTAAGAGTAATATTTAATACAGGCAAACTTTCGAACACACATACACTAAAGTATATTTATACATATGAGATATTATAGTAAATATAGCTACTATTATGTAAACTTTATACTTTTGAAAATATGTGCAATGCATTAGTTAAATGAATAGTATGAATGATAAAATGTTTAAACGTGTATAATGGTTAAAGTAGAATAATCACTAAACTTACCAAATGTGAAATAGTAGAATTCTATACAGTGACATAAAAAAAAATAGTTTATAAATTACAATTCCATTATATAACCTATAAATAATTTAAGTGATAAGTGAACGAATTCCAACTATAAAAAGGATAAACTAATATAAATAAATAAATAATGATAAATTAACGGATTTATATTACAACTTTAAAAAATAATAAATCTTTTCTATAATCCGATAATAATATAAAACTAAAGAAAACTATAAACATTTTTTTTTTGATTATGAGCGGAGGAATATATTAGTTTTACAATGATGTTTAAAATCTTACTTCGGTTTTCAAGAATGTACCTTTTCTGAGAGAAATGGGATGGCATTTGAGAGATGTAATTTTTTGATTTTCCATGCGACTTTCAAAATAATTGGGAAAAAACGGAAAAATTTACAAAAATAATGTTTTTATTATTTTCAATTTTGTTTTTTATGTTGTAACTCAATTGAAAATGTTCGTAAAGACTTACAATTAATTTGGACAGAAAACTAAAATTTGTCTTTTATGGGTATGGTCAAATTTTCAAAATTGTTGAGCTATTTTTAAGCTATTCATAGACATTTTAATTTTGCTTTAATTTTTCTTTTTTTTTTCGGTAGGTACTCTGTGGATAAAATGGCAAGATCTATCAGAAATGCTTGAAAATATAACAAGAGGTTCATTATAAGTTTTACTTAATGATCAACAAGAAAAAGTTGAGTTTAATGAAGTTTTTTTTTTTATATACATTTATATACGAATTTTAATACCAAATTATTACGATAATACATTTAATTTCACTCTACATTCTACCTTCTCAACTTCCCACCTACAACAATGGCCCACCAATCGTGTAAAGTATGTTCGTCTTTTTTAAATTAAATTGAACTTAGGATTTATATTTCTATATTTCTGTAGTAAGGACCTACACCTAGTAAAATAATTTAAAATATTTGCTTTTTTAGGTTTCTGTAGTTTATTTAGATTAACTTTTAACATTCAAAAGCTCAATATTACAGCAAATACCTATAGTAAATATATTATACACAAGTGTAACTCTTTTATATTAACAAATATTGTGACCCAGGTAAGAAATTATTTTTTAGACTAAATTTGCATAAAACCGATACCAAACTATAAAGAAATAACATGTTAATTACCTAATAAATATTAATATATTTAATTATTAATGCTTACATGCATTAAATAAATTAGACATACTAGTCTTATTAAAATAGAATAAATAATAATTATATATGTAAAAACTAATAAATGTATACTAAATTTATATTTTAATATTTATAATATAATATATTAATATATACAATAATAATTAATGTTTGTTGCCAAATTTTTTTTTAAAAATAATCTAAACCTTCGCGAAAAATAACATGTTATTTTGTTATGAGTAAAAATTTTAAAATTCTAAAAATCTTGATTTTAAAATGTATAAAGATACAATTGTATACCATGAAAGTTATTGTTTAAAAGAAAATATAACAAAAATAAATTATTATTACTTTAAGTTTTAAATCGTGAACGGAGAGAAGGCTAATATAGAAACATAAAATATAAGAAATTAATACTCCCCTCCTAATTTTAAAATCAATTATTGGTAGGTACCTTATTCTGTCTTTATACCAGATTAACATTAATCAAAACGTTCAATGGAACACTGAACAGGTGAACACTGAATTTTTTTAAATTATACGAATAGAAACATTAACAGTCTTTAAGTAATTATTAATATCAAATATTTACATTTTCAAAAATAATAATCGTTTTTTTTTTTTTTTCGAAATTGAATTAGTAAGTAAATTACATTGTATAAATATGGAATTATAGAACCATTTGTCAAAAGATATTTTATTTTACGATTTCAGTAATAGAACACCATTTAAATATAATCGTTTTGTGTTGTACTTGTTAATTAATTAATCTGTCAAATTAATGTTAAAAAAAATATATTTAAAATTACCGACAGTTTAATTTTTGTATACACGTATTATACGTAAAGTATTATTATACGGTAATTGTGTATACAATCAAATCTATATATACATATAGTTTATAGTTTTGATAATTTACAATATTTATCCCCCATATTGTATACTGCGTGATGTTATAATGCTTCTGCGCCTGTGTTTTATAAATGAAATGTTTAATCTACAAGTGGTTCTTCTCTTGGCAGGACTAAAACTAGCAACTACCTAACAGTCGACGTTTTTACGTTCACAGTTACACATCTGCACAACACAAAAAGTGAGTACAGCAATATTAATATGAACATTTTATATTACATCGTTATATTTAGTTTTAAATTTATTTCAACTATTACTATAATTTAATTTAATATACAATATTAATATTTAAAACTTTTTGTAAACTATACGAACACAATAGTTTTTATTAATATTCGCGTACAAAATAAACACTATCTATTAGTTATGTACCGATTGCACCTATTTGGATTACAATGCAAGTATATAGGCATTCACTTTCCAAATATTTTCAAAGTAAAACATTTAAATTAGCAATTGTAGTATTTTTGTGTAATTATTTTCTAAATCGCATATAAGATATAATTAAAAAATATATCAACAAAATACTCGCGATTATTTTTTTCATACAATCGTATAAATAGAATTTCATTGTTTTGGCATTTGGCCAGGGATTATAAAGTAGTCACTCACTTATTCTGACACTCTCTATTCCTAATTTAAGGCCAAATTGGTTAAAGATCGCCAGTTTGCTTTGTTTCTTTGTTATACACAAAACGAAAAATGTACACACGTTTAGAGATACTCGTGCGATAAATAAAACGTGCTACACATCATTAATAAGCATAGACCAATAGTTTTACGATTAATATGAATACTTAGTAATTAGTATCTTTATTTTAATATACACGAATTGAAATATTTTACTTGACATACATAACATTTAACACCGAAATTATGATATAATTATAATTAGTATGTGGTATTGACGATATCGTATATAATAATATAATAATGCCATATTTATATTAATTTTTTTTACTGATTAGAATATTCTATTGAACTGGTTAAGATGTTCGATTTTGATTTCTGTAGAACACAACATATTATATTAAAAGTGGTTTTAATATGAGGCACCACATAGTGGTCACCTCGAGGTCATAATGAAGATTTAATTATTTTATATTCTGAAGAAAAAAAATGGATTTTTATAAATTTATTGCACATACCTAATTATATAGGCATACCCAGTGGTTTTTAAACTTATTTTTGACCACGGCACACTGTGGCTTTTTTTTTGGTTTTGTTTAATTTTTTGCATAAAAGCTAATAACAAAATTAACGAATCATGTTCAAACGAGTCATACTAAAAAGAATTACGACTTCATACTACTTAACGAACGGAACACCGTAACCGATGGTTCTTCAAAATTTAAGGAAAACAAATTTCAAAAGACCGCAACACACCTGTATAGTGGATACTCCCAATTTGAAAATCACTGTTTTAGCTGATTCTTAAAACGTATTCCTGATTGTGGGAACCTAAAGTTTTGGTCGATATTTATCTTCATCAGTTCTTGCGTCTGTATAATTAACTATTCATTTCACATTTGGAAGGCGTAGGTTAAACCCACCTAAAAATTGCAACACAAACATGTTGTAAATTATATTGAATATATATACAAATAAAATATAATATTACGTTAGGATAAAAACAACACCTACCTATTATATTTTCTGATGTCAGTGAGATTATCAGAGCTACCTATCTACCTAAATATACATAACTTCTATAATAAATATACAAATTAATTTACATTGTATAATTATGACGTTTATAGACGTCAGGTACAATACAATAAGTACAATAGATACCTATATATTATTATTATTAAAATATCTAATAATGTTACGCATGATGTTGAAATACAAATTATTATGCAATTAATACGTGTATTATCCAGGTCCAATTAAAATTGTAAAAATTTCGTTACAAAATATATTGATTATAATATTATATTATATAATACTGAAACCCATGGTTTAAATCCAAACAATGGTATTTAATTGCTGTACTTTAAAGTTATTGGAGTAAATAATTGTAAGGTTCCTCTATGTATGATGTTTTTTACTAGCAGATAGTACCTAGTTGATTTTTTGCTTTAAAAACGAGTTAATAAATTAGCATATCTATACTATACCTATACTATTTTGCTAATGAGATAGTGAGATTTCGAAGGATTCAATTTTGGAGGAGGGTGGGGATAATAATTTCAAATTTCTGGATAGGTTTTTTTAGTTCATAAATTATTTAATACTCAAACAAGTTTTTGGGATAGTAAAATACTATAATTATAAGAAAATACTTGAAATTACGCAACTACTTATTACATATAATTCGTAAAAAATCTCAAATATTAAGGGTTGTTATAACTCCAAACAGCCTCCCCCCCCTTGTTGGCCCATTGAGCAACTATTGCTGTTCCACTGACTACTGAAGTGTATTTTACACTATTTACTATCTCCGTGTAAACGAATATTACATTATCAGACATACAACAGTGACATGGTTGGAAATCGTCCAATCATACATTATTATTTATTATTTACTACAAGTATTATGTGTACAATTATTATACTACACAATTAACACGGACCAGGGGGGATCTCGGACTTCCCCCTAGATGCCACTGATATCAAAAGTATATTATAATAAACTATTAATAATATTAGCGAAAAAGTTGCTAATAAAAAATCACTGGGTAAACTTCCCTTTGGGTATAAAGTAGGTGCCCGCCCATCCAATATCTAATATGCTTATATTAAATTAAAATGGTATATGGCATTGCTATAAAAAAAAAGATTTAATATATTATTTTTATTATTGATTTTCGTATAAGTGTAGTCATATAATAATATTTCTGTTGGCTTATTTTTTTTATTGATTTAACGATAACAGTAGATTTTTGAGTGACGCCTGTCAATAATATTAATAAGTGTAATGTACCTACCTACTTACAAAATAATCGTTTCCAATATATTTTCGAAATCCACTAGAAATAGCAATTTAATTAGATTTTTGCAATTTTCCTGTTAACACTTCAGTCGGCGTGATCAACAGAGTTTTGCTTTTAAAACATATTTTATGTTAACGAGATACCTAATTCGAGGGTAAGACGAAAAAATCTATATTCCGGTTGCTACGGTAACACCGCAAAGTCGCACTGTACGAAATAATAATAAACACATAGAAATCCACATTCTGTACGATTTATACAAAACCATATTTACTATATTTATTCTGTCATAACAATATTATATTTTATTATATTGATATTTTATTATAAGACATAGTATATAGTATGGTAATAATTTTAGTTGAATTTACCGTCCTTGTGGATATATTATATTATAATGTACCTAATATTATATATTATTATTCTAATATAGCATACAAATATTGTAAGTAACATTTATGTTTTGTTATTATAGTGATTTTATTAATGTATACAGATATTTTAAATAATACTTAAAGAATTTAATTATTACATTTTCTGATTTTTGTAAAATGTATTGCCGTTTAACACGTGTGATTAATGTCTATACCATCTTCTTATAATTCTGTTATTGATAATAATTAGATTATTTGGATTAAAACAATAATTTAATATTTCCATTAAAAATACATATAACATTAAAATATGAGTGCTTACTATCTAAGATTTGACTATTATTAAACAAAAGTTATTCAGTTAACAAGTTACAGTGGCTGCACCCGTCTTCACTATCCTAGGACATGTTTTTAATTATTTGGATCCTAATATACTTTATAATTAAACCGTTGACAATACGTTACTCGGATGATTAGTATTAATTATCTATACTAATACATTATAAAGAGAAACGATTTGTTTGTTTGTAATGAATAAGTTCAAAAATTACTTATTTTACAATTTCTTTCCATCTATACAGAGCTATATTATTAGCGAGTAACATGGGCTGTATATTATTTTCAACAAAATTAGAGATCCCTAATTGCAATAATTAGGTTTTTAGGCATTTTTAGTACGAATATGTAATTTTTTATTTATTCATGGGTTACTTTGGTTACATTGATGATAATTTGGTTGTCACGGACAAGATAACTATTATTATTACTACTATTATTTACACTATTATCTAGCTATAACAAAGCATTGTCGGGTCAGCTAGTAAATAATAAATACCTAGTGCATTTTTCAAAAATAAAATACCTACTATAAACTGCTGATAAAAAAAATGTAAAAACATGCGTCCGAAAATAAACTATTGTTTTCAGTCAATAAATTTTAACTTTTAATTTAAAAAAAAATGTTTTACTTCGTATTATACACGAAATTATTGTCATTTCTGCTGCAATTAAGTCATATTACGATGCCTAGGTAGAAGTAGGAACCTAAAAAACATATCTGCTGAACTTTGATACTAGATTAGAATTATTTGTTCAATAATTTTATTTATATGCACTTATATAATTATTGTGTTTGAAACAATTTACTGCAGTATATTATAGGTATTCGTATATAGTTGAATACATTATTTAACCTTGCCTACAATTTTAAAATAAAATGAAATATACCTAACATAGATAGGTTACCTTGTCATTTATTTATATATTCTTCGATAGTACCTACTATATAATTGTTGAATTGTATCTGTACTGAATAGGTCCTATTCAAATTTGTAGGTACTCGTACATGCGTGCGCATATTTGTTTTAAACATTATACTGGCATTTATGGAAAAATCTTTTCATCGTCCGTGTAACGACTAACGAGCAATTATATAGTATGTTAACTTAACTTATACAATAAATTCATATGATTGTGCATAATATACAAGAGTACGTCTATAGTAGCAGACTAAAATACTCGTGCGTAATCGCAATTCGAATCTTTATTTAATATAAATATAAAAAATGTCTATAGTTATTTTTTAATTTGTTTTAATCTAGGCCAGTTTAGTTATACCTAATATTACTTGTATTGTATAGTGTGCATGTGAGTTTTGTTAACTGCTCGAAATTAATTTGTCCTTATGATAATAATACTGTAATTAAAATATACGAAAAAAAAATTAGGGACTTATGAAATTGACAAGTATAAAATTGGTAGATATATTATAGGCATGAAATAATCCGTATACACAGACTTACGATAAATTTAAACTGGTATACTAAGATACGTATATTATTGTAATATTAGCTATAAAAAGTGAAATTAACTTTTTACAAACCACTATTGAACGACGTTATAGAATATAGAAATATAGTGTAGGTATATAGTATATAGTGTAGGTATATATATACTTTGGTACCTATGTGAATTAAAAACAAAAAATCAAATTAAACATACTAGTCACTGTTATAAGTGGGAAGTTGGGAAGGTAGGATACATAAAGTTATTTTATTTATATCAGTAAGCATGGATAAACCATTGGTGATATAAATAAAATGTGCCATAATTTTTTTTGCGATTTTCGTTTAAATTTGATTTCAATACGTTTATTTAAAAAAAAAATCGTCCGATGATTTTGGGAAATTTTACCACGTCTAGGTAAGTCCAATGTTAGTATTATAACTAAGTTTCAAGTTTCTATGTGTATTTATAACTTCCCAAAAATTAAAATTCCTTAAAAGCTCAAAAAGGATTCAAAAGTTTTGTCGATAATACAGTAAGAAAGTAAATCAAAAAAAGTATCTTGTGATTTTTCGATTAAATCATTTTTTCTGGTAGAAAATGTCGTCCGTGTTTTTATAAAATAATGAAATCGAGAAATTGTACGTTTTTCTACATTTTTTCGCACTAGGTCTTTTATTTAAAAAATATCGTCGAAAATCAAAAAATGTTTTTTCTAAAGCACAATCTTGACAACTTGAGCTTTTAGAAAAGTTTCCGTTCGTAAAGATCAGAACAGGTTTACTAGGAAAAAAAGGGGCCACAGACTAGAACAAAGAAAAAAATAAACAGCATTGTAGAAACCAATACGCTCAAAATCTAAAATCATAAATTAATATAATTATAATAATATTCTTAATTTGTCTTTAATATTATATTTAATGAATACAAATTAATATGAGGTAGGTATTCGATTTAAATTTAATTTAAATCGAATTGTATTGTGTGTGACTGTTAAAAAATATAAAATAAAATCGACTAAACATATGACTATGATTATCTACTACGCAATTATAATATATTGAATGCGCACTTTTTAAAATTATAATTTAACAAAACAAATATAAACTTGAATTTATTTTGCTGAAATCAACATGCAAGGTATTTAAAATGAAAATGTACGTCATAAACTCCTAATAATTAGGCACCGATAATAAATGTCAGACAAAAAAATGCTAAGTATCGTTTTAGGACTGGATAATTAAGTGCCGGTTTATTGTTTACTGCAAATTAGTATTGAGTAAGTGTACATAAATAAACCAGATTTTTGCAGTGTTGCAGTTTGAATTATACGCAATTGCATTTGTTTTATTGGTAGGTACCTACCTACTTTCTTATATGTATACCTACCTCATTACTTCTATTAATCTGTTTTCCATGTTAAATAATTCTATAATAAAACAATAGGTTATTGGACTGTTTGCTTAGAGTAATTTTTAATTATAACCCTATTATACATTATATGCATACTATTATATATTATACTCCTAGTAAATCAATATAGTTACATTAAAACATAAGAATACTATAATTATTATAGGTATTTAGATAAATAAAATTGTATTTTGTTTTATACTTACAAGTTACAATTAAAAAAGAAAACATAAAAAAACACCGATATTACATCATCAAGTATATATTTAATTTAATCATACACATTTTTAAATTTAATGAATCAACAATCAAATAGTTTTATAATAACGTAAATACGTACAATTTGCATACAATTATTTTCGTTTCAAACCAATTTATATATTAGATAATATATACAACGTCCTAATGATTTATTTTATTGTTTGATACTATATAATATTATAGAAAATTGTAAACCATTTTTTTTTTAATCAAAATAAGTAAACATTCCTATTGATTCCAAAAACAAAATACTTGTATCGTGCAGTCCGATACATTTACAATGTTATTTCGATGTTTTTTTATGTTTTTTTTTTTTTCAATATTGTTGTGTTATAAAATGTAGCCAATTTTTATTTTAAACCCGCAGGATTTTCTATTTCTGCGGGCTATCTACCTAACACTAGTTTGACTGGTATTGCTTTCTTTCTTGGCAAAGTAACCGGTTTTAAAATGATACACCTAACCACCATTATTTATGGTATTCGAATTTGATTCGATAAGTTTTTACTTTTTATAATATACGTAACAGCTAGACTTGCGGTGCATATGATAGGTAGTTGTATTAGCTTTTTTTAATCAATAATATAATTGCGTCGAGAAAATAAAAATTCACCGTGTTCACCGCCGTATACCTACCCATTGAAAAAAAAATATTTTTTTTTTCCTTTTACGACTTAAAAATATCTAAACAAACATCAAAAATATGCCTAGGCATATTTTTCATACTTACCTATGTCACGTATTAAATTGAACATCTAAACAAAAATTACTAAGATAATTGGCTAATTTATTACATACACTTGTGTAAATTTATAACGAATTACAAACACTCGCATCTATTATTATAATAATAAAATATTATACAGCTAGCGGTAATATTGTAAATAGAGACGATCGCGAGTTCGTATAGATCGCGTGTAAAATATAGTGTATGTAAGTTAAGTATTCGACCCTCGTCATTTTTGGCCGGCTTTGGACTTCGTCGTTCTCGTATATAGAAATGTCCTAATCGATAACTGGCGCCACCGCTGGTATATCTCCTCGCACTCTAGTTTTACAGTCCCCCCAAAAACATCCCGTCGTCATCGTTGTCGTCGTCGTCGTCATCGTTCGCAATGTTTCTCGAATGTAAAATATTTTTCTCGGTGTTTTAATGTAAATTTAAAAAAATTCGCTCTCTCGTACACCTATTTAAATAGTAAAGATTTTTACATCGGCATATAATATAACACTCGGTGCACAATATTATTCTCCTATATCCTATACTCCGGGTTTTTTTTTTTTTATCGTACAACAAAGAATACCGAAGTATCATAACCCTAATATAATATAGGTGTAGGTACTTACCCGAGTAAACACGATTTATACCATTATCATACGCGTACTAAGGTGAGTAAATAATATCATGATTTTTTTTTTTTTATTACAATGTTTCATATACCTATCATAAATCCTTTTTTGTAATAGTCTTGATAATTGTTTTGTTTCGCTGTACTTGTATCCGAACAAATGATGTGATTATATTCACGTTAACGCAATAATAGTAGGTACCTCTAGGTCATTTCACAGATATAGTATACGTATACGGCATAATAATAATATACATTGTAGTGTTGACAAAATGAATTAAACATATGTCATACGCGTTATACTGTAATACTGTGGTAATAAATATTATAACAAAAAAAAAATAAATAAAATATTATACTACGTCATAGGACAGTCCTAATCAGTCTGCATTTAATATTTATACTACAATAAAAATATATAATTTACTGTTTAGGTACATTTATTTTAGAAAGATTATCCTCAAAACGAAATGTTTGAACTGCAATAATTTTCCTTGAACTCGTTTATTTTATTTTGCATTTATATAAAAAAATTACTTTTAAAACTTTTAAATAATTATTATTGTCTATAATATCATAATATGTTATTATAAATATAGTATTTATATAGTATAATTTTGTTAAAAATAACGTCTTGGCGTCAATCAAATTTAATTATTTATAAATAGATTATAAAGTAAGATTCTCTTATATAATATGGTATATAACATAATTTTATTTATTTTTACAGATCAACCATGCCGGGATACGGATTATTGGATACTTCTCCCAACTATGCCATCAACAAGGCGGTTGCGGCGAGGTTTCAGCAGCTACCTCAGCCCGAGGATAAGGTGCAAGTCATGTACGTGTGGATTGACGGAACAGGTCAAAATCTCAGAGCCAAATCTCGAACATTAGACTTCGTACCGACCAAACCCGAAGGTATGCCATGTGCGCCCACTTATTACGACAAAATTACGAAATTAAAAAACCTACGATAGTTATTATCGCATATAATATCATCGCTTTCTGTACAAAAAAAATGAATTAGTTTGCTCTGGCACAACTACATGAATAATTTTCCCTAACTATATATGTAGGTATTCAAAAATTGAAATCATCATCATTATAATATGGCTTCACAACTTTAAAATAATTTCAGCCATTATTGTTCCATTGTTCCTCCAATAATCACTATTTTGGATCGTTTTTTTCCGTTTTTCACTAGATCTTATTATATTATGTCCATCTACCGTTTTCCGGCTTCTCTCTGGATCTTCTTTCTTCTGGTTTCTATTGCTCTAAATTTGCTCGTTTCCTCATTTCGAAAATTGCAACTGAAAAATATATTAATAATTACAATATTATAGTAACTAAGCTAATATTGATAAACAGATAATACAGATAACCATTTTATTTAAAATTAGGTCATTCTCATAACACAGGATGTCTCAATTAAATTAGGATATCCTGATAATACAAACAATTAGATAGTTTTTCCCCCCAATGTTACTGTGTGAATAAAGTTAATATAATATTGTTGCGAGTAAATTCATATCATTTATAACCCATTGTAACTAATTTATAGTGAAGGTCTAAATAGTTTGTTCTAACCTTGTAATATAGTAGTTTGTAAAAATAAAAACTAATACTGCTGATGGGTGCGCCACTGTTGTAGATGGGAAATTTACAAGGCAATATGCATATAAAATTATTTAATTTACACTTGTAGGTAACAATATACGAAAACCGATTCTGTGTTAAGTTCAATTATACATGATTTGAAAGGCTGTAATATTTACGATTTTCAACAAAACTTGATCTTAAAACCATTATATAAATTTAAAAAAAATGACTATATTACATTTAATTAATAATGAACCTCTTGTTAAATATTCAAGCATTTCTGCCTGGTCAAAGTCAAACAATTATACCCAAATAGTACTTATCAAATAAAAGATAGGTAAAAAACTAGTAAACATAAAATGCCTATAAATAGCTCAAAAATTGAACATTTTACTACGTCTAGAAAAGGCCAATATAAATTTGTTGTTAACATTTCAAGTCACTACGTATATTTTAAACTGAATTACACAAAAAAAAACAAAAACAAAATTGAAAATAATGAAACCATCATTTCCGTAAATTATCCTGTTTTTTTTTACGTTGTTTTTGGTTATGCTCAATTATTAAGGAAACTACCCAGTAAATCAAAAAAGATTTACTTAAATTCTTTGATTAAATCAATATTTCTGGTAGAAAACATAATACGTAAAAATTAAAAGTAATGAAATCTGTAACGCTGTAAATATTTGTCCGGTTTTCCTATAATTTTGTTCCCGGTTTTTTAAAATTATTTTGTGAATGTCAGTCCATATAGCTTAATTTTATTACACGCCATAACTTAAAATATTATGTATTTGACTTGTTCATTGTAAAAATATAATTTTTTCAGATCTCCCGATCTGGAATTATGATGGAAGTTCCACATATCAATCTCAAGGAGAAAATTCCGATACATTTTTATATCCAGTAGCAATTTTCAACGACCCGTTCAGGTTGGCACCGAATAAACTCGTCATGTGCGAAGCGTACAAACACGACCACACTCCAACTGGTAATTATTGTAATAAAAATCATTAAATATTATAAATGAAATTGATTACTTAAAAATCTTCAGAATCTCTCCATAAATTTGATTTTTATTCGATTTTCCTTACTCTTAATATTATGTAGGCACTGAAAATTTGATTTGTATTCTTTAATATAGGAACAAATCACCGTAAAGCCGCTTTGGAAGTGATGATTAAAGCTGCGGACCAAAAACCGTGGTTTGGCATCGAACAAGAATACTCATTGTTGGACACTGACGGCAAACCGTTCGGATGGCCAAAGACTGGATTCCCGGGACCACAGGTACATTATAATATTATTATCATTATACTATGATAAACTAAAATATATAACTGATCGACTCACCCTCAAAACAAATTCTTGGACACGATACTGCACTCGCCAATAGTAATTATTGTTATACAGGGTCTTACAAATTACGGTCGAATTTAAATAGTAGGTAATGGAGCGTTATTCTAAGGTATCGCGCCGCACTGCCACACAAATGATACGCCACTACTCTTCCCCTATCCGAACTTAAAAGCAAAATATCTCGTTAACGGGTTGATGGAAATTAAAAGTATTAACTCTAAAAAGTATTTAAACTAAAACTATATCAATTAATGGAATTTTTAATATAGGTTACTGTTTGAAAATCAAAAGTGGATAGTGGCCAAAATAAAGGTCATAAAATATAAGGACAATATAATATTTTAAAATATGTGATTCCCAAAAGTTTGTACATATTAAGTATTTGTTGAAAAAATAAGTATTTCATGATGGAAGAGTTGAGTGTGACACGAAATTGGAAGACCCTGTATAATATTATAATTAACTATTCGGTGTAAAATAATTATCACTGTACAATTTATGAATATTATCATTATAGGGCCCGTACTATTGCGGTGTCGGAGCTGATAAAGTATACGGACGTGACATTGTCGAGGCTCATTATCGCGCATGTCTGTACGCCGGAATCAATATTTCTGGAGAGAACGCCGAAGTGATGCCAGCTCAGGTACTTGTCGCACGAGTTTTTACTAGTTTTGCCTTGCAAATAAAATGCTGTTTTGTTTTTTCGTTTTATATATTTTATACACGTGTACTGTTTATTGTCTGTACATTTTAATCGACGAATATGCTGTATATATATTCGAGGATGACGAGGAGACTTGACTACTATACCAGAAATAACGTATTCGACTGATTTTTTATATTATCTTATCGTTATCGTTAGCATTATAATATAATCTAATGCGTATTATCGTCGTTTGTTTATTTTCAAATAATTCAAATTTTGTTTTGTTGGCGAATTTTTATCGGTCTAAAATCATTTGTTCATTTCGTAATCTTTTTGTAAACGTTTTTTTAAATACAGTAATAATAATAACAATAATAATAATAATAATAATAATAATAATAATAATAATAATAATAATAATATGGTTAATCGTTTTCTGGCATAGATACATCTAGTTTAGGAAAAATATATATATATTTATTTTTTTATTGTTATTATTTAATGATATATTAACATACTTTTTTATGTCTCGATAAATTATTTTATAAAACCCACAGATCTTTACATTTTCAAACCAATTTGAAGAACAAGACTGATTGTTTGATTAATTCTTCATTATTGTAGGGAAGAGCTTCAGAATAAAAATAAATTAACGTGAAACAAAGAAAAACTACTTTTTAAATATGTATAATGTGGAAATTACATCACACTTGTTTCTCAAACAATGTCTAAAGATTATATTTTATAAGGACAAATTAAAATTCACTCACTAATTATCGTTTTTCTTTTTATACGTTGTTAATTTTCGATAAACGATCTCGTCGTAAAAATCTATTTACTAAAATTATTCGTGTGTATTCAAATAATTTATTCATGCATTTCAGTGGGAATTTCAAGTCGGACCGTGTGAAGGTATCAGCATCGGCGATCATTTGTGGATGGCTCGTTTCTTGTTACACCGTGTCGCTGAAGAATTCGGTATTGTGGTAACACTCGACCCGAAACCAGTACCGGGAGATTGGAACGGAGCCGGTGCCCACTGTAACTTCTCCACCGAAGCTATGAGAAATAACAACGGAATAATGTAAGTATACTTATTTTTATGTTTAACTATCGAACTTACTCTTTCGAAAAATTCAAATATTTAAATGATAACTCTCTCTGTGTTCCTGCAGTGAAATCGAAAAGGCCATTGACAAATTATCTAAGCAACATATGAGACACATCAAGGCATACGATCCCAACGACGGCAAAGACAACGAACGTCGTTTAACTGGAAAACACGAGACTTCTTCCATTTACGATTTCTCGGCCGGTGAGTCTTTTAGTATTCTATCACTTCGTATCTGTACATTTGGACACGAATAGGTTCAGCTACTCTTATTCTCGCTCTCCGCGTCCCCAAATATTTAGATATTATCATAATAATTATTAAATATCTATGCTCACATAGATAAATATACATGATTTCATATATCTTCTAACCTAATTACCTTTAGATACTTTTTTTGTGACAATTTCATATTATTGTTTTTTAATATTTCTCAATATGTTTATTTGACGCCTCAATGAATATTCTTTCTTGCTTTTTTCTACTATTAATTTTCCTACATATCCACACTACATATCATCAGTTTTGAACCAGATAAGTATATCAACCAAAAACAGATTTTTTTTTAAAATACATATTAATCAATTTAATAGAATATCTATACACAATTTTGTAAAAAAAAAAACAAAATTGTTTTTAACCTCTCCTGGAAAAGTTGCATTTGCTGCAGGTTGACCAAATAATACCAAGTGATTCCTACCTATGTTTCTCTGATTCCAAGTCAACGTTATCTACCAAATAAAATTATCATATTTCTGAATACAAACATTAAAAAAAACGGACGGACATACTTGACATACTATGAGAAGTTATGAAAGTAAAATAAAAAGGAATTTAATTTATGCCTGTACAACTAATCATTACTAATGAAAAACAATTCAGAGCGAAGTATTGCTTTTTCAACAGTGTCCGTTTTCACGACAACATTGAATTTTTAAAAAATATTAAAATCTTAATAAGAACAATAAATAAATAAAAACAGTTACCAATGACAACCTTGTTTTTAATCTTTTTTAACCTAAAGAACCAGTTTTTCCTCATTATCACGAATATTAATGAGAATTTCAAAAAAATGTCCTTTCTAACGTACTAACTAGAATCAAAATGCAACGAAAAAAGGCTATTGTCATATTTTGATTGGAGCAAGATTTCTAAGAGAAATTTTTTACACAATACGAAAAAATAAAAACATCATTTCAGAATCAATGCATTCCTCACTTCACTCAGAATCTAAAAACAAACGATTGAATTATTTATTTTTATGTTTTAGGTGTGGCTAACCGTGGAGCCAGTATTCGTATCCCCCGTGGATGTGCCGAAGAGAAGAAAGGTTACTTGGAAGATCGCAGACCGGCATCAAATTGCGATCCATACCGAGTAGCCGAAGTGATCATACGAACCGTGTGTCTGAACGAATAATGATATATATAGGAAAAATAACATAATACAATATGCAAAATAATGTTATCTCTAAACGCCTACCACCATCACCCCATGATTAAAATTAGGTTTAAAAAAAACATCATTTCTTACATATAATTTTTTTTTTTTTTTTGGTGTGTTGTTACTTTATAATATTTGTATATCAAATAGATAGATATATATATATATATAATACATTATTATTATTTACCATTTTTATTAATTTTACAAATTCAAGACCAAAAACAATATTGCATTTTGATGATTAATGTCGTTCTACATAGGACATGTTGATTTATATTTTTTTTTTTTTATAATACATTATATACATAATATTATTAAAATAGCTATATTGAATAAGTATAAATATATATCCATCATACAACGCCGCTTGAAAAGTCACAAATAATATAATGTATTATCGTGTGGAGGTATTATACATTATATAACTATATAAAACTCTGTCTTGACTTTTAATTCCTCCTACTTCGAGTATTTGGCCCTATTAAATTGTATAAGTATATAATGTTTTTAAATATATAATATTATTCTATACTGATCACATGACACACACTTTAAGTGTTTAAATACATATACAAAAAGCCCGTTTTTCGCTACAATACTGCAGGTATTATAATAAATTATTTTGTCACCTTTGTATAATAATATTATTATTGTTGAACTATTATTATTATAACTATACATATATATTATATTAATGTGCTATTGAATTTTACAATAATTATTATTTTTGGGCATATGCATTTTATGAAAACTATATATTTTTGTTAATTTAAAATCATGAAAAAAAAATTTGAGTACCTATTTACATAATACGTATTATTATTATTATCATTTTTTAAACAATCGCTATTATCCAATAAATAATAGCGATTGCACAAGACACACGATGCCTATAAATTGTATTTATAATATATAGGTACACGCAATGCTGTATTTAAGGTGTATATTGGGGGGGGGTATAGTTTTTCTGATGTTAGGGGACACTAATTTTTCACGGAGACTGTAAACAATTTTTCGGAAAAATTATAAATTATGTGAATAATTCATATATTTCATATATGGAGTGATCAATCTATCATAAAACACTCATTATCTCGGAAAGTGTTAATTTTTTCTGGAATTTGTTTTCTAGAATATTTAAGAAAAAATAAACTGCTCTTCAATTTTATATTTATGTTACTTTTTGTCATCCTTATTTTTAGGGGGAAAACCACAATCTAATTTTGATTTTCAAATGACAACCTATATACAAATTACATAAATTAATGGAGTATTAGTTCAAATAAATGTTGGTGTTTTTGATTTTCGTCAATCCATTGACGAGATATTCCATTTTTAAGTTTGGTTTGGAGGAGAGTAATGGAGTATCATTTGTGTGGCGGTACGACGTGCGACGTGTTAATAACCACTCTTCTCCAATCCAAACTTCTGAAAGTAAATCTGACTGGGAAGGTACTTTAGAGAGGTAATTTTTCGATTTTCCCAGGAGTTTTCTCAACAAATGTAAAAAACCGAGAAAAATATAAGAAAATCGGGTAAAGCGTAGAAAAAACGAGAAAATCGGTACTATTTTAAACAAATATTATTTAAGAAAATACATTATAACAATAATACCTATTTAATTATTTTATCATAATATGTCATATACATATTGTTGACAGAGCATCACTATCAATTGAACTCCGCTCAGAATCGTTTTTAGTAAACAATGGTTTATTATTGCTTACATATAGATACAAATTAATTTACCCTTTTCATTCCCAGCTTCTCACCAACAACAGTGGCTACATTCATCGTGCGAAGTATATAAATCTTTTTTCCATATGTTGATGTTGCTTTAAGAGCATTGTAACTTGTATGATTTAGGCATTACCCGAATTACACAAAGTTCCTGTGTAATTTGGCCTCCAACTGAAAAGTCTTTTTCTACACTTAGTCGAATAAAAAATTTAAGATTATCGGTCTTCAGAAAGTCCTAATAGTCTTTCAGTTCTAAACATAGAAGCTATTTTCACAAAGTTTGAATTATACAGATATGATAAAAACAAATTGCAGCAAAACAAGCAAGAAAAAAAAAACTGGAATTAAAGTTAAATATAGTTTAATAAGTATATCTCAATATATTATAATATACTGTTCTTTTTTATCATAATATTATTTACCCTTCACAGCATTTGCCTGTTTTTTTAGATTCTGAGTGGTACGAAGAATGTATTGGTTTTACAAAGATATTTATTTTTTATTTTTTTTTTTAATACTTTTTCTACCAGAAAACTTACTCCGATGTATATGATATGCAACTTTTCTGAAAGGAGATTTTCTTGGGGTGGTACTTTAGGGAAATAATTTTTTGATTTTCCCGGCAGTTTTTCTAATAAAAGGGAAAAGTAAAAAACTGAGGAAAACGGGAAAATATATGAAATATATTAACCGGGAAAAACGTAGGAAAAATGGGAAAATTAGCACAATATTAAAATTATTAAAGAAAATATATAATGCCTATGTAATTATTTTACTATAATATGATTTATATATTATTGACAAAACATCACTATCAACTGAACTGCGCTCAGAATTATTTTTCATTAGCAATGATTTATCGTTGCTTACAGATATACATTAAATTCCCGTCTGTATCCTACATTCCTACCTTCCCGCCTACAACAGTGGCTGTATCCATATGCGAAATATGTTAGTTTTTTTTTAAAGTTTTAAATCTTTTTTCTTTTATCTAAATACTAAATTATATACCACAAATCCCTATAATTAGTATAACTACTTCAGTAGTTGTGAAATTAATCATATTGATGAAAACATATTGATGTTGCTGTCGCCACTGCTGCCCGACGTCCCGGTCACCACCGAGTCCCACACCAAAAATATATAGTTAGTTACGATTCGACAGTGGGATTGATCCAACGTCGTAAGCCCAAACGGTCCGCGCCGAGTGGGTCTCAAAAAGAAAAAACACACTCTTCCTTTTGGCATGATGTTCGGCGCCAACATGATGGGCTAGGCGTACCGACTGTGGTCTGCGGTGGATCGCGAACAGAGGAGCCGTGTGACAACAACAACCACAACAACAACAACAGTAATATCAAGTCAGAATCACCAGGAATCCCTTAAAATTTAACGAATTAATAATATTTTTTTTTTATCTCTCAGCACTTTTCCTAATTTTGTTTTCCCCCTTTAGTCCATTTCTAGACCGTTCTAACATTTATGTTAAAAAAAATAATAATAAATCTAAAACCATTAATGAACCGAGCTCTCTCTTTTTTTTTCTCTCCCTTATTTAAAAAAATAACCTACTAGTTCAGCCAACGCAACTTTGTTGTGTTTGGTCCGGCTTTTAGGTCACTGTTGAGTGTTCCTCCTCAACAGTGGGTAATGAGTAAGCCCACCGAGGTGGAGGCCGAAACCTTACAATAAGCAAAGTCGAGGATGCCAAAATGTTGTTGCCCATGGACACCAATATCATAATACGGTCCTGGGTACACGACAATCATATTATATCATAATAATAAAATATGATAAATGAATATAAATTGAAAGGTTTATTTATGATATTGTATGATATACAAATGCCACTAAAATATTTATGGTAGATATCTTAAAGTAAATATGTAATATTTTCTATTGGAGCAATATATTTCTGATAGAAAACCCTCATACCATACGAATTTTAAATGATGAAATCGGTAATGCCACGGCGTGCCGAAATATTCGTCCGTTTTTCCTATAATTTTATTTCGGGTTTTCCTCATTTATTTTTAAAACCCCTTAGGAAAATCAAAAACTGACTTCTTTATTCACCATCTAAATTTGAAATGCAACAAAATAGTGCAACTTTTTAAAAAAAGACCATAATTTTAACAATTTTTGTCAAAATTTTAATTTTAAAACCCCTGATTGATATTTTTTTTTATCAATCAGGGGTTTATCATGCTTATTTTTTTGTGTTCGAATTATCAAATTTCTGGTGAAAATATATCTTAAAAAATGTTAATACATGTTAAGTATTGACCTTTTTCTGTATTTTGCACGTACTCTTACGAAAGACCAAACTTCCAGCGTCATACTTTTTTTTGTAGGGGGGCTGGTCAGTTACATATTACATTACAAAAATACAAAAACCATAATAACTGCAAATTAAAAAACAAAAATTATATTTAAAACAATAATTTAAGATTTCCTGAATTTTGAGGAGGCTGTAGTCCCCTCAGTTCCCTTAGCTATACCACTGAGCTATATAGGCCAATATGTTGAGCTAAATAAGGTATTCAAATAAAATGTGCTAAACACGAATGACTATATTAATTTCGATCAAACAAAAAAAAAAAAATGAAATGTTATAAAAATACATAAAATAACTTGTTTAAATTATTTAACTTTCATAAATATAATCTGATATCCAATTGAAAATATCTATAAGATATAAAAATGCGCTGACCTTACGTCCTTAATAGCAGGAGCTATAGCATATTTTTTATAATATTGGTAAAACCATTACACATTGATCATATTGTATGTATGCATATTTGTGTTTACCTATACTCTATAGACTATAGGTATCAGATATGATTATTGATACGGATAACATATAATTGCTGACTGCGGTCTTTCATGATATAGGCACCAACATTAAAGATATAATAGTTAATCTTATCATAAATATATACCTATATTGCAATAATTTCTATTTGTTTTTTTTAATTCTACCCACTGGGAAGAGTGGGTTGGCTGCTGCTCACCTAGCCCACTTCACGTGCTTACGCTTATACTATACTAGCTGTCTCGCCTGGCGTTGTCCGTGCCAATTTAAGATTCCGATCGTAGCGAGGGAGCTATTTGTTTTATAATGCTGTTTATTTTTTTTCTTTGTTCTAGTCTGTGAACACGTTTTTCCTACTAAACTTGCTCCAATTTTTACGTGTAGCAAAATTTTTAAAAGCTCAAGTTATCTAGATTGTACTTTAGAAAGATCATATTGATTTTCGACGCCATTTTTTAAATAAAATCACTTAAATGGGAAAAAACGTAGGAAACGTACAATTTCACGATTTCATTATTTTATAAAAGAACGGACGACGTTTTCTATCAGAAAAAATCATAAGATACTTTTTTTGATTTAATTTCTTACTGTATTATCAACAAATTTTTGAGCTCTTTTTGAGCTTTTAAGGAATTTTAATTTTTGGGAAGTTATAAATTCACATAGAGACTTGAAACTTAGTTATAATACTTACATTGGACTTACCTAGACGTGGTCAAATTTCCAAAATCATCGGACGACTTTTTTTTTTAATAAACGTTTTGAAATGAAATTTAAATGAAAATCGCAAAAAAAAATTATAGCACTTCAAATTATGTATTACGGAACTGCGTTCGGAATCGTCTTTCATCAGCAATGGTTAATCCATGCTTACTGATATGAATAAAATAACCTTATGTATCCTACCTTCATAACTTCCCACCTACAACAGTGACCGCTCCCATCCTCAGTATCAGCTCTTTTTATTATTTTTTTTTACCCATATTCCTTTTTGGTTTTAACCGTAACAGTAATGAATACAAACAAACAGGTGGAAAGTAAATAGTCCAACTTTAGTGGACTAAAAGTTTTCTGTTATATTATTTCTTCATGAAAGGCAGAATTGTACTTCCGTATATTATCGAGAAAAACTTTAGAATGAATATGAATGCCATTAATTAGACTTTTCAATGGGTCTGCAATTTCGTTGAAAAGAACTTTTACTCCAGCACAGCAAAAACCGAGTGCTTCAAGAAGCCATTTTTTGACTGGCAATACTGACAAATCGTATTCATATTGCCAATAGAAACATGGGAATTAATAGCTATTAAAATTGCTTTAAAAGGTGCTTTTTTTCATTTTTCTGTCTGTAAATAACTTTTTGAACAGAAATCTTGCTAAAGGTATAGTACCTTTTCTGAAAGGAAATTTTGCTTAGTTGGTGCATTATAGAGCAGGTCGTTTTTCAATTTTCAAAAGGGTTTTCGAAATAATTAGAAAAAACCCAAAAGAAAGTTATAGGTAAAACGGCAAATATAACGGCACGCCGCGTTTTTTAAATTTTTTTTATAAGAGTTACAATTAAATTACAACCTTTAAAAACAAGTATTTATACCCATGTATGTTCTACCAGCAATTTTTCTCAGATTTTCAAATGTGTGAAAAAAAAAATTCAAAAACTTTCAAATTTTCCTGACGTGGTACTTTAGGGAGATTATTTTTTTTATTTTTCCAGTAGTTTTCATAATAGATAGAAAAAAAAACGAGAAAACTTACGAAAATAATGCTTTTATTATTTTCAATTTGTTCTGAGTGTAGCGAAGAATGTATTGATTTTAAAAAGATGTTAATTTTTTTTTATTTGAACACTTTTTCTACCAGAAAATTTACTCCGATGTATGCGATGTAGATCCTTTTCTGAAAGGAAATCAGACTGAGGCGGTAAGTACTTTAGGGAGGTCATTTTTGAAATTTTCCTAGAGTTTTCCCAGCAAATTTGAAAAACCGGGAATAATGGTACAATATTAAACAAATATTATTAAAGAAAATATATAATGCCTATTTAATTATTTTACAATAATATGACATACACAATTATATTATCGTTGACAAAGCATCACTATCATCTGAACACCGCTTAGAACATTTTTTTTGTTAGCAATGGTTTATCGTTGTTTAAAGAGATATAATTACATTAAATTCCCTTTTGTATCCTACCTTCCTAGCTTCTCACCTACAACAGTGGCCCACCGGTCACCCATCGTGTGAAGTATGTCCGTCTTTTTATTATATTCGTTTAAATTTTAAATTTTTATGAAAATCGTCGAAATAACGGCATTTAAAAATATATTTAACCGAACATTTGTATTTCGTTCGAAGTATATCTATTTGTTTTCTTTTTAACTATTTTATTACAGTACTTTTGCCACTAAATATAATATAAGCTATATTATTCGAAATCCAATTCTCACGATCATTAAACGGTAAGAATAAAAAAAAAACATAAATATATATTATGCATTCACGAAATGCAAAAAATATTATTATATATTTCATAAATAGTTAACGCTTTAATTTTATTAACGTTATCGGGAACACTTTCGTTTTCTCTTCGGATAAATAATAATAATATATTAACACATTATGTTGGTATAAAGTAGGTATAGTCATGACCGTTTTATTATTATTTTATTTTTTATAACAAACGTTTTATAGTTAGTAAAACAATGAAAATTACTACAGTTTAAATTTCACCAGACCATATTACAATATGTATGTTAAAAAACTAACGTGGCAATATTTGTATGCGTGTAGTTTATCGCCGTCACCACAGAAATCTATAATCTATGACGTCACGCATAATGTAAAACATACATTTGCATAACAAGATTATTGTGAACCGAAAGTACTATTGGTAAACAAATACAGATACGTTGTCATTATTTTTTCTTGAACAATATAATATTATAATAAGTGTTGCAATTATTTTTAACGAGTTTCACCCATACCACGCGGCTCTGCCTGGATAAAGTCCCCATAAATAAAAAAAGTCTAAAAACCAACAAAATATTAAATACCCCCTCAATACTCCCCCATAAGTATTTTAACGCTCACGTTATTTTATTTTCCAAATCATAATTATTCACATACGTATACCAAGTTTGGTATACTTGTTCCGGGCCATGTATTGTCTGTGGGCCGTGACAACAGAATGAAATGAAATATGTATACTAATAATAAAACTATGTCTCGTAGTTACCATACGGTCTACTTGTATATAAATAACGTATTTTTCCTTTATATAGTTAAATTCGATTTTTCCAGAGTAACCAAGGCAACTGAAAATCAACAAAAAACAAATCTAACAAGTTCATAGTTTAAGTGTTATTACAGATAAATATACATAATCAATAATCATATTGGTATAGAAATCTAGCTTCGACCTATATTGTCGAACCTGTCAACCTCGTAGTTTAATAAAAAATGGGTTTATGTATTGCAAAAAGAGGTTCGAGGGTGTACACTTTTAGACAAATATAACATGCAACTTAAATATCCATTTATATAGAACCTAGGCATTAATATTGAGAGAGAGAAGACTAACAACATAATTGTTAGAAAAAGATAGCATACAGTTTAAGTCATACTATACGCTCGGATATTGGTCATCTCTTTCTAATAATGTTGATACTTACTGATATAAGCAACTAGACAACCTATGACAGAGTATGGGAGACGCACAGTCCGTAAACGATAAAATAGATACCTATGTAAATTATATATGTTATATTAGTGTGTGTATCATGGTCAATAGCCTATATTCAAAATTTCAGATAACCGTGATCCATTTAGCTTTTAATTTTTACTATAGTCAAATTCCGATAAAATACACATAGGTATAAAAAAGGTTAATAAAGTATAAATAGGGTTGTTAAAAAAAAAAGATTTAGAAAATTAATCTATACTACCAGTCTGTCGACAGTTTATCGTGTGAAACGATGTGATTTACGAATTTAAACGCCAAACAAAAATAAATAATTATGTCAGCCGAATTCGTGGACATATACTTCCGAACTAAAATTGGTTATTACATAGGTACACCTATACATGTAATGTTAATAGTATCTCATGATCCATATCGTATTATATTGTGGGTAAGTACAATGAACGCATACGATGAAAGCGCACCCGAATAATAGCTACTATATAATGCACATAATAACACAGAATGTACCACCAGGATGTGGCACATTATTATAATATATTTGTAATAAAAATAATTTTTACGCGTTTAAAACAAATTAATAACTATACTCGTTTTATAAAATCGTCGAAGGTCTTATGAACAATAATAATAATATGCTTGTTGATTTATTTGTTTTGAATATATCGTGAGAGATATTAGATAAGACATTTTTAACTATTTTATAGGTGTATTACTCATTTGAAAATTTAAAATCTAAACATCGTATACAAGTTTATGGTTTTACAAAGACAACTTTTCTACCAGAGGACTTGCTCGATTTTTACGTCATTTTTCGATTTTCTCAAGAGTTTTCTCATCAAATGCGAAAAAACGAAAACTTTTAAATAATTACGCTATACTCTACATTACTTAGAGACCATTAGGAAAATTCCCCAGCCTAACTTTTAGCATTATTTTGGTTAATTTCTGACTTTTGGGTCTGGGAAAACAAAATAGTAACATTTCAATAAATGTCAAATACTTTTTATTCGTGTATATCCATTAGTATATATTACAGATAGGTAAGCTATCTGTAAATCAAATTTTCTGATCGATGATCACGATTTTTAGCTTTTAAAATAAAATATAAATGCCATAAGAATATGAGCCTACCTATTTCTCTGAAAGCATGAAAATCTGAAATAGATATGTATTAAATAAATCGATAAAATTTGTTTTGGAAATAACTGACTTCATCATCACCAGTTGGCATCGTGTAAGTTTAACCAAGTTATCAAACATTGAAATGACGCCACTGCGATAGTTTCTATATTATTTTGTTCTAGGTTCCTGGATTATTGTGCAGTCAAGGAAATTTATTTTTTGGAAATTCGACGAGAAGTACACAGTAGGTGGTCAATAATAATATTAAAAAATTTAAAAACAAATAGTTTTTAATGTAAATGTCTTTTATTCGTGGATACAATTTTCTGAGATTATTATTGTTTGTCACAATTGAAATAATTGAGGACAACATTCATTCTACTCGGACAGTGTTTAAATTGAACTAAATTCATGAATAAACCCTATAATATTATAATAATAGTACAAATACCTTCTATACAACAACGGCGGCGGCAACTACCATAAACCTAGATTGAGTGACAAGGGCAAATAAAAATATGACTGCACATCGTGTCGTCTCATATCGAGTTGGGTGACGTTAATATTATTATTATTAAGCGTATGGAAACAACCAGTAGAAACCTACTCATTGGCATACTCATTGGGTAATATAGTTAGTTTTGTACACTAGTTACTCGCATTGCCCCCTAGGCCGTATTTCATAAAACAAATTAGAAGTACAAACCCATTCGAAGAGTATTGTATTTTAAAATGAATAACAGATAATGTGGACCATATAGTATTGCAGGCAAGTGTACCAAGAAAACAATCGAATATCAAAAAACTTTAAGAAATCGGACAAACCTATATCAATAACCTCTGCAAATTTCTTAAGGAACCCACGTGCGATTTACCCAATTTTTTTTTTTTAATTTTATAAAATTTGAAAATTATTTTTAATATTTGAATGGCCACCTTCATGATAAGACTATTCTAATAATGTACTGACCGATATCCACATAGAGTGAATAAGAGGATGGTACGACCGGTTTTACGAACGAAAATGACTATGGGAGGTCAGCAAAATAATCATCGATATTGGACCATTCTACAAAGCATGCACATTCTTCCAGTAAGGTATACTTTTGAGCTAAAAAACAGATTGGCACCAGGTTTCTAATTTTGAATTTAATATTTGTGTACCAATATATATAAAGCATATATACATATATTAGCACACTAACATGACGTTGTAGTTCAACTGTTAGTGCAAGATTAATAAACGGTACTTATGAATGATTATACATTCAAATTTTATATTTACTTATTATAGTGAGTAAGTATCACACTAATCGTGTTTTAGCTTATAAAGTAACATACTAATGTTTTATAACTATTTATTAAATTACAATATAATGTCATAAAAATATGGAAAATTTGTTAAACTTAAATTACCTAAAGTTATGAGACATTTAGAAATTATGGAGGAAAGACAATAATAAATAAATTACTACTTATAATGAACCACCTCCTGTTAAATATTTAAGAATTTCTGTTTAGTCTAACAGTTTAATTCATAGAACACATACCGAATAAAAATTAATTAAAAAAATTGCAAAATAAAAATGTCTATGGAAAGTTCAAACATTTTGATAGTTTTACCACGTCTAGAAAAGACAATACATTTTGTCTGTCTAAACTTCAAATATTTTTAATAGCAAAAAAAAAACCAAATTGAAAATAATAAATTTCGTAGATTTTCCAGTTTTTTCCAATTATTATTATAAAACCACCTGGAAAAATCCAAAAATTACCTCCAGAAAAGATGCTACACTTGACACATGGGAGCAAGATTTTTTTTAGTCTATAATACGTTAATACGTTATACAATTTTTAAATTCAATAACTTCCCTCACGACAAAACTCTAAAAATAAGCTAAACTTGATGTTTTAACGGTGACCAGTATACAAAAACTGGTACATTTGTACGATCTACACAAATAATACATATTGCATACACACATAACATCAAAACTAAATAATATTTGTTGTTCTTCCGTTCACAATAATATTGCCATAATAACCGTGCATCCCATAATTTCATATTATGGTTACGGCAACTCTTTCGTCTCGCGCTACAGAACCACAAAACGCTGCAGCAGTAGCCGCAACAGCAGCTACTAATGCGCGCTCGCGGCAACGTCTCTTGGGCATTAATTATTGTCAATGTAACTAGTCGCGCTAGAATTCGGTATTTTGATTATCGTACACAACAGTCTGGTACTCTGGTAATCTAGTGTAGAACGAGAGTCAGTCGATATTAATAACAGCAGCAGGTATCAAACCGGATTTCCGAGTGAAAAATGCCGACCACCCGTTACACGCACGCGGTCGTGTGCCGTTTACCGCGATCATTGACCGACCGTCAACCGACCCTCGACTATGACCGGGCCCGGCGACAGCATGAGAACTACGTGCGGACTCTTCGAGACATCGGCCTAGACGTGATCGAAATGCCGGCCGACGAGCAAACGCCGTGGTGTTCATTTGTCGACGATACTGCATTCGTATGCAATGGTACCGCCATGATCACCAGGCCCGCGGAGCCCGACAGGGCCAAAGAAGTAAGTCCCCTGACAATAATATTATTAAGACTAAAATTTTTTATGAAACACAAGTTATATTACCCCCCAACTTCCTCTAACGAACAGGTAATTTTTAAAAAATCCCAAGAACAATAAGTTTTTAGTACTTTTCTATAATTCACTATTTATACTTATGGACGCCCAGTATTCAAATATATTGTTCACTGGGTGTCCATTTTGTTACAACATCGATATAACATTGACTTCTAAAATAACTATTAAATCGATTGCTGTGTTTTAAATCATAAATAATAGGTAGATTTATTAACATTTAAATTGATCATAGTGTTCATTTTTTATTACTCTAGAATGAAGTATCTTCTACATAAAATAAATCCAACATTGTCCTTAATCAATAAGTGTTTGAAATACTTCAGGTTGAAACGATAAGAGCTGTATTGAAGAAAGAAATTGGATTGCCTATTGTTGAGGTTTCTGATAAGTCTGCAAAATTACATGGAAGCGATATATTATTTACAGGTAATAAACACATGCTATACTTATATTATAAATGCATTTATTGTTAATGTTTCTTACAATGTTACAACTTCAAATTAAACCTACTGAATGGATTAGAGCTGAAACTTAGTACAAAGTTCCAGATTAGAAATAACATATGAGCTAGGTACCTACTTAAAAAAAATCAACCCCTAAGAGTGGGGGGTGTTGAAAATTATAGTATGGATAAATCATATGACACAAATTGTATTACTGTTTAAGTTAAAAATTACTAACACACTGTAATTTCATTACCTCATTGCATTACTATCAATAGTTATGAATGTATTTGCCGGAGCCATATGCTAATATAATATAATAACTCACTGCATTCCAACTTAATTGGATCAAGTTCAAATTTCAAACACATTAATTTAATTGTTTTTATTTCCTATTCAATGTAAGTAATAATTTTCATTCAATACTAACATGGGCAAAACCATAAAGGACAAATAGTAATTCTTATTTTACATTTATAAAATATTCAAATTATTTTAACTTTTAACAATATTTTTAAAATATTAGGTACCTTAAATGTATGTTACTTTTTCAGACACAAAGTATTTGTAGGTCATATGATAATAATTATTACAATACCAACGATAATTTGACAGTTATTGAAACAATTAAAATTATTGGGATAGATAGCAAAAAATGAATCATCATATTTCTAAATGACCTTCATAGCATAATTATTAATTTATCACTATAACTTTTACTGCTTACACTTAATAAATTTACAACGTATTGATGAAACATGTTATTAAGTTATGTTATTTAAAAATTATATTAGTCTGTAATGTGGTGGTGTCATTTTGAGCAGTTTAAACTGTCAATTTTTTCATTGTCAAAATACTTAATAAATATAATTATTATTGTTTTTATGTAGGTAAGGAATTCTTTATTGGAATAACAAAATGGACCAACGAATTGGGAGCATGTGCAGTAGCATCTGCTTTTCCAGAATATCCGTGTACACCTATTAAGGTAAGAAATAATTTATTTAGCAATAATATTATTATATATTTGTAAAAAAAAATAAATAAAGAAGTGTTTCTAATAATTCTAACAGGTTACAGAAAACAAACATCTAAAAACAATTGTATCTATGGCAGGACCAGATCTTATGTGCATTGGTTCAAGTGATTCATCAAAAAATGTTCTTAAGGTATAAATATTAAATGATCGACTAATATACATACTTAATTGTTTTTATTTATTTTATTTTATATTCACAGAGGTTAGAAAGAGAAGCCACGTACAGCTATCAAATTCTTACATTGCCAGAAGATGAAGCAGCTAATGTTATGTACATCAATGGTACATTATTGCATCGATCAGCCAAAGAAATACCCCTATCATTCAGTGTAATTTATATTTGCTAACTATATTTATTAACTAAATTAATAATAATAAATGTTTTTAATTAACAATGTATGAAAATAATTCTAGGTTCTTAAAGAGAAAATAACAGACTTTGCTCGCCAATCGGTCGACATTTCAGAACTTCTAAAATGTGAAGAAGCTAATTTGAATTCGTATTGTCTTTTAGTTAGACGTACTAAACATATAAGAAGTTTGTAAATAACATTGATATGCGATTCTCTTGCCTCAGTATTATATTATAGATATCAATAACACATTACATTCCAATGTTTTTTTAGATATTTAGTGTTTTATATGATTTAAATAACTTTTATTTAAGTATAATTAATTAAATATTTTAAGATTTGAATCTTAATATAATTTGTTAATTTTTTAATTATTAAATGTTCTAATTTGTTCCTTACAAAAATGTTAAAATTATGGGATCTGATTATATTACTATAATATTAAGCATAGTATATTCTACAAATGTATTAACCAACAATATATGTATAAATTATAAAAATATCTTATGATTTATTAATTAGATTAACTGTTGTAATGAGATTGACTGCTATATTTTCGGGCAATGACTTATGTATTTACAATTTAAAACAAGTAATTAGCAAGTTACAGATTTTCAAACTTGAACATAAAATTATATAAATGTTACAAGTAGTCTGTTTTAAAATAACCAAATTTATTTAGAAGAAATATTAATTATTTTATATACTATTATTATTATTGGTGCATCAAAATTACATCCAAAAACTATTATATCAGAGTTTTGCCAATTTCCATGATAGGTTTAAGTTGTGTAACGGTTTTGAAGTAGGTATCTACAGATAATAAGACTGAATATTTATTTCAGAAGCAACTTAGAAATATTGCCGGCAAACCAAACTTGTTTAAAAAAATTATGAATGTAATTTCTTTTGTAAAATTTTCCCCGATAATCGCACTGTATTGTCTCATAATTTTCAACCCCCTCATCTACCATTTTTGTGATCATATTTTGCAATTTTTTCTTGGAAATAATATAGTACAGCATTATACTACTATGGTGATTATTGTTTTGCAATGAATATTTCTATGACATTGAATAGATGGAAACAAATTTAACTCTAATAACAGCACTCTGTTACGCACATTTTTTTGTACAGATCCAATTAAACAATTAAGATGCAGACATTATAAGTAAGTGTATTGTATAATATAGTATACAGTGTGTTCAATGATAAAGGTAACACTAAATATCTCAACCTGATGATCTCGGAATTTAAATTCGGTTTTCAAGCAGTGATAGTTACACATTTAAGGATAATATTTAACTTTTTGCATGCACATGCACAATATATCTTACCTTTTTTTTAAATAGTAATACCTATTTTTAGCACCATATTCGAATAGTCTTATTTATTTCAAAAAACTGATTAATACATTTATTTTATATAAAAAACATAATATTAATAATAAATAATGTTTACTTAATAATATCATTACTCTTATCGATTATTATTGAACTTCTTAAATGAGACAGTTAATATTTTTTTAAATATCTAAATTTACTCTAATTTAAATCTGATTTACATATTTTAAACAGTTGTATTTAAGACAATTTTTGAGATAGAAAAAAAAATTGTAATAGTCAAAGTTGCATGAAAAAAATAGGACTATTCAAATATGATGATAAAAATGGGTGTTACTGATTAAAAAAAGAAGTTGTATTGTGTATGTGTACGCCAAAAGAATTAAAAATTTTAAATATATCTTAAAATATGTATTTAAGTTCTCCCTATCATAACTTAAAAACCGAATTTAAATCCAAGGTTACTATAGGTGAGATACTTAATGTTACCTTAATCATTGAAAATAATATATAGATGACAATACTTATTACAAATACATGTAGTAAAAAAAAAAATCATTATTTTGTTGTTTTACCAACAATCAAATGAAAAAACCTTTTAAATGCGGGAAAATGCAACAAACAATATGAAAAAAATTATTATGAGGCTTGATAAAAGTTTGGTTTATATACAATTTAATACTTGGATAAATTTATTCAATTTGATTATATAAATAAGGAAATTTTGATTTAACTTTCAAAAATGATTTTTTATTGTTGATATGTTATTTCTTTGAAAAAAGGATTTCCTTAATTTTATCACTTATCTTGGAAAATCACTCCCTAAAGCACTAACCAAATAAAATTTCCTTTCGGGAACTACACATAAAAATCAGAGCAAAATTTTTGATAGGAAAGTTGTTCATAGATAAAAAAAAAATTAACATCATTGTAAAACCAATACAATCCTCGCTTTGTTAAGAATTTAAAAGAAACAGATGAATAAATAATAAAACTTTGTAGCTAAAAAAATGTTCTTGATATAGATTTCTTAAGGTGAAAAAAAACAATATAATTTAAGAAAAAAGAAAAATTACAAACACAATAATATTATAGTAATAATAATAATATATAGAACTCTTGCTTTATTCAATAATATAACTCAGTTTTTCTGATACACATAATATATGTGTATAAATATTGAAAAATTATGTAATATAAAATTTGGAATGCTAACTGTAAGATAAATTATACAGTATAGAAATTACAGAAAGGCTATGTAAAAATTAGGTTATAAAAAAAATGTAGATATATTAGCGGTTGAGGAAAGCAAATATAATTTTATGTAATCCAAAAGTTTGGAAAAAATTTTCACACTGTACGAAATTATATTTCATTAGTCATTACACTAAAATAATAATTATTAAATATGCCTAAATGTAAATCAGTTAATGTGCTACCAATATGTTTTATAACTACCTTAATAAATGTTTAGAAATAATTTATTTTTCTTCTTTATTTAATGGTATTTCTTCAGTGGGAGGTGCAGAGTTTCTAAAATTTGGAAACTGTTCCCATGGAGTAGATAACTCAAAACGTCTGAACTCTTGTGCCATTTCTAAAGGCTCTACAACAACTCTCTTTTTATCATCATCATACCTCACCTAACATAAAAAATAAAATATTCATATAATTTTATTATAATTAATTATGTACACAATAATAAATTACCTCAACATAGCCAGACAACGGAAAATCTTTACGGAACGGATGTCCTTCAAATCCATAATCTGTAAGAATTCTTCTTAAATCAGGATGATTACTAAAGAATACTCCGTACATGTCCCAAATTTCTCTTTCGTACCAATTTGCTGCTTCAAAAATAGAAGTGCTTGAATCAATTGGTGTAAGCTCATCAGTATAAGTTTTAACACGTATACGAGAGTTAAAACGTACAGACAACAAATTGTATACAATCTAAAATATACATATAATAATCAATACAATATATTAATTGATAAAATAATAAAGACACTAAATAATAGACCTATTTCATAGGAAATCAAACTATATAGTAAATAATTTATTGCAACAATAATATTACTCTAGCATTTTGTTATTTCAAAATTAAATAATTAAAAATAAGATTTTTTTCAGAAAAATGTCAACACAAAATCTGTTTATTTTATTAACTTATACAGCTTACCAATTTTCAAAAAAATATGCAAATAATGTAAATACAAATCTTATTTAAGCTACTGGTAGTCAATCTTAAGTATATACAATTGTAGACTAGCTTAAGAATAAATTAGTAATGCAAGATACTGACTAAAGCACAACTCATAACCAACCAACTATTTAAATCTTTACCTCAAATCTATTTGAACGTTGAGGAACATCTACAGCGCATAAATCTGCCAAGTTTGAAAATTGACAATTATGGTGATCTTTTAAGAATTGTAATACTGGTAAAACACCATCTGGTGCAATGAGTATTTCCAGTTCGTCTCCAGTAGCTATTTGAACTTTTTGAACATACTTGGGCAAACATTCAGCAACATATCTTCCAAAATCAGAGAGGTTTTTCTTTACTAAATCATTTGTTGTTCTGACAGTTGCTGAAAAAAATATATACCAACTATAATACTAAAAAAAAAAAATTTAGTAAAATATTTACGTCTAGTTTCCTTGGGAACTTCAGTACTTTGAAAACGAGGTCTGTTTAAAATGAAATTGGGTAGACAAAATGTTTGAGTTGTACCTAAAAATGTATTTAAACATAATATTGTGAATACATTAAATTCAGAGGTGGTAAATCAAGGGCATAACAATATAGGTATTATATACAATTTATAAAATGCTGTTAAAAACAATTTTCTTTCTAATATTACCTTTGTGTAATCCCAAATAGTTAGATTGTTGAAATATTTTGGTTATTACTCGGACCGCCATTTCAAAGAAAAATTTTTTTCAATGAAAAAAAACTTAATCAATTAATAGGTATGATATTTTCCTAGGAAAAAATTTGGTCGTATGTTTTTTTTTAGATAATCTGATAAGACTACGTGGAATATGAAAACATAACGTTGTATAAACGTTACAAATCGTGATGCAACCTCTCTCCACCGGTAAAAGGCCGTTGTTCGAAAATCACAAGAATAAAATAATGATAAGAATAAATGATAACGGACCGAAAGTGTAATTTCTATAGCTATATATTTTAAATTTGGGATGTTTGAATACTTAATACAACTATATTCAGTTATAATATTACTTTATCCGAAGCTCTAAACGAAGCGAATGGAGAAAATAAATCGAAAATAAAAAAATTAAATCTCGATTTGTTATGTTAAACCTTGTCGTGACAACGGTTCTTATCATTTTTCGAACAAATGCCATTCACTGCTATCCACCATCTTATCAATTGTAGTTTCTTTTTCCCGTAGAATCCGTAGATCCACGGACATATAAATTATGGTGACCAGATATAAAAATCCAAAAAAGTATATTTTAAAATGTATACACTCCATTATAAAAAAAACCCTCCCTTGAAAGAATTGGCCAATGTATATACTATTCTGCCCATTTTGCCCATAGCCATCTCCATCTATATACATTTTTTTTAGTCTAATTTCTCTATTTTTTTTTCTATTATCAACTATAAAAACTAATTATTTTAAATCATAATGTTAACTCATTTGGTTGGTGTCTTTCAAAAAAAAACATGTCTAATTTTTAAAGATTTTTAAAATTTAAATTTGTATTAATACAACCGTTGTCAATCAATCAAATTATACAAAATCACAAGCATGTATTAGAGTATATTTTCAAAAAAAAAAGTAAAATTTCATGTACTTAACACTATTGTTAAGGACATTTGGACAATGCATCAAAAAAGAGTACTATCCTATGAAAGAGTATGTCTGGTCACCATACGTATAATATATTAAACATATATGTATATTAATATGTATGGCTGTGTGTACTGTACTACTGTGTAGATCAAAGTTTTTCCCACAATCCCACTTCAACAGTGTTAAGATAAAACCTACCATGATAAAATAAATATATAAAATATTTTATTTTGAAATGAACATTTTATCATTTAAACTCGGAATACAAATTATGAATTATCTACTGACGATATTGAAAAGATTTTCTTCTTTAGTTACTACATCATGATATTATTGCCGATGACCATAATCACGGCTGTATAAACTATTAATAACCATGCATGACTGCATGACAATTGAAGTTAAGTAAAAAATACCTAGAAAAAAAAAAACAAAAGTGAAAAGAAAGAGCTGATACTGTGGATGGGTGTGTTACTGTTATAAATGGGAAGTTGGAAAGGTAGGATAAGGGTATATAAAGTTATTTAATTTATATCTGTAAGCAACAATAAACTATTGTTAATAAAAAATGATTCAAAGCGAAGTTTGGTAAGACATAGTTAAAAATGCTGTAATTTTTACAATTTTCATCAAAATCTAATAATTTTAAGATCAAATGAATGCTTATGAAAAAAAAAATTATTAAACTCAAAAATGTTTTTAGACCAATAAGTACAACTAATAATGGACTTTGTATTAAATTTTCAAGCTTTACTCTTAAGTCATATAATTTCAATAGATACGAACAGATATGTACCAAAGAAAAATACATAGGTATATATAAAAATACGAAAATATCAAATATGTACCTATAAATAAAATATTTTGAAAATAAAATGTTAAATAAGGTCAATATAAGTATTTTGTGAAAACTACAAGGTTTTACAATAATTTTTGACTGAATAACAACAAAAAATTCAAAAGCTATACACTTTCCATGTTAGAAAATATGTTATTCTTGAAATGTTGACAAACATTTCTGATAGAAAAATTTAATCTTAAAAGTTTTAAATACTTAATGAAATTGCTATACCGATTTTTGAAAAAATCGTATTTTTCTTCTTTATTGATTTTTTCCAATTATTATGAAAACTCCTTTAAATGTTAAAAAAACGACTTTCTGACAGTGGCTAGATATTATAATGTACAAAATCAATCTCTTATCATTTTTCAATTGGAGTAATATTTCCTGTAAAAAAACATAAGTTGCAAAAACTAAAAACAATAAAATTGGTTACGCTGCAGAAATATTTGCCGTTTTACCTATAATTTTCTTTCAGGGTTTTCACAATTATTTAAATGTTCCTTAGGAAAATCAAAAAATTACCTCTCTAATGCACCAACTAGTCAAAATTTCCTTTCAGAATAGGTACTATACAAGATTTCTATGAGTTTAAGGTAAACAATTTTTTACACATAAAAAAAAAAAAACAGTAAAACCAATAGATATTTCGTTACATGATGAATCTAACGAAAACATTAATCTATCACAAATTTGTTAATCCTGACATACTGTTCAACATTATAAACATTAGAAAAAAAAAAACAGAACATTTTAAAAATTATTGTTATAAATATATAATTTTGTGTACAATTTGATTGTAAAAATAAATAGTTTCATAGTTTTAGTCATTCATTACATTACTGCAATCATAATTTATAAATTATATGCGAGTAGGATATTTATTTCAAGTGTTTAATATTGTTTTCATTCTTTTTAAAAATTTGAAATAATCTTCTCAAATCATAACAATCTTAACATTTTCTATATATAAACAGTTGCATTATTTCGTTAATTGATTAGAAATATTAAATTTATTTAAAATGTTTTTAACTTGTCTTTGAAATTGAATATTCTTTGGTATAGTCCTATACTGATTAGTATCTAGTTCAACTATTACTTCTAACTTATGAATAAATATTAATTCATAATTTTAAATGTATTGTTTCTCCATGTTAAAATGTATTAATCATTTATTTATCCTACTATCAATTGTTTAGTCATAAACTCAGTTCAACATAGCGTAAAACCATTGTTACTGAATATAAGAATAGTTATAAATTAGTACACCTTTGTGGTTTTTTTTTGTTATCTAAAATCTTTGATATAAATTAAAAGAGGACATTTTGACATTTATCAAAAAGTAGCTTAAAAAAAACGAGGACATCCAAACAAATAGGATAAATCTTTGTAAAAGAGGACATCTGGTCACCATATTTAAATATGAATTTAAAGTACTGATCCTAATATTTCTGGTAGCTACAGAAAGGGTTAGAAAATATAAATATTTTTGTATGCAATTTTAGTCTAAATAATGTACTGTTAAGTACACAGTATAAATATCTGTATCTTAAGCAAAATATTTTCACATATCACTATTCTTTTATCGTTTCTGCATCTTGTGAATAAGATTTAAGATATTAAATCAAATTAATTTTATAAATTTAAAAATTATCATAATTCAAACTGTTAATTATTTATATTTTTAATCAATTTTTTGAACAACATTGGTGGTTCAATAATAAGTAGTACTTCAAGAATTATAGATTAATGTGTATACAAAACAATATAATTTCTTTATACCATGTTTATTGTCAAATTATTTATAATACATTTAACAATTTAAATAATTATTAATTAACAATATTCATTTGTATAATTTAATCATAGCAAAAATATGATTAAATAATTCTTAAATTAGTTTTAATATGAAAAACATGAAATTATTAAAAATTAAAAATATATACAAAAATATAATAACTAAAAATATATATATTAATGCCAATGTACTTCACTAGGATGAGTTATTTGACCAAGTTTGAAGAACCTTGTTAAATTATTTTGAGTTGTTGATTGACTTGATTTTGATTGTGGTTGTGGCAACTTTCCATCACGTTTTAAAACCCCAACACATTTCCAAGTATCAATAGTAGCTAGAAAACAAGCAATATAGTAAGCATGTTTAAAAGCAATATATTAGATTTATTTTTAACTAATACAACATTAAATTTATGAGATAAGATTGAAAATTACAATTAATACTAATTCAAGCTTACCTTTCCATAATCTTACACAGCCATCATCACCCGATGATGCCAAGACAGTGCCCGTTATATTCCATGCAACACGCCAGACTGTACATAAATGATCATTAAATTCAGCTGCTGTTTCAACAGTGTAGGGAAAACCAGTGGTAGTATCCCTGTATAAAATATAATGAAATTAAAACATTATGTACACACACTTAAATATTAAACAATTTGTCAAAAATAAAGTTTTATATATATTACATACGTAATGGGCTTGAGTTTTAATATGCGAATATTGTTTGTAGCAATAGCCAACAAATAAAATGACCGTCCCATATTTGGTGCAAATATCATATCATGTACTGGATGAGTAACACTAGCAATAGATTCAGTTTTTGCCCATTTTCTAGACACTTCATTATACTCACATATAAATAGTTTGCTATTTGTAGTATTAGAATTATCATCACTACCAACAGCTATCATAGCATTCGGCATTCTAAAACTGAAATATTAGGCAAGTAATATACATTTTTAAATACTAATTCCCTAACTAAAGTAAAAGAATATTAAAAATTATTACGTAGATAATAAAGGATTCCATGTAAGACAACTACTTGGGGTTTTTAATGATACTTCATGTTGTAAAGGCCATTGAGCAAGATTCATTGAATCTGGAGCTTCATAAATTCGCATTACCCCATCAGCTGAACATGTTGCTAAAATTAATCCAAATGATTTCGGACCAAATTTTACATCAGTTACAGATGTACGAGAATCCACTAGGTTTGCCCTACGCACCCAATGTCGTAGTAATGTACCACCTTCAGTACTTTCACCCACTATAAAATATTAGTTATCAATATTTCAAGGTAAATATATTATGTTTAAATGTAATTCTATAATAATTATCCGAAATCAGTTGGAACTAGAATTTACCAACATAACAGTGTTCATAATTAATAATTTATAATAAAAGCCACAACATTAATGCAATAGTATTTTATTTTAAAATTACAAAATGTTTACATAATTTATAAAAAATTACCTAGTTTTTAAATGCAACCTTACAATAGGCAATATTAATTTACTTATAAAGGTAATAATAATAATTATTTCATAAAAATAAAATCAGTAGGATTTACACATTGGGTAAATGTGAAAAAACTATCGATTATCTACAAACAATTAAGTAATAATAATTTCTGTTTATTCAAATTTGTTTTTTTGTTAACTGAGTGAAAAATAATCGCAGAGATTTGAAAGTTTAACTATACAATTATTATCCCATTCAAGACATGATATTTACAATATACAAATAAGTTTTTTTGTTTGTTTTTAAGGAATATTGTCACGAATTTGAGAATAAATTGCTAAATTATTATTTTTTGTTTATGTTTGTTTACTAAAAGTAAGTATAACTGATAGAAACTAGTTTTACCATATGATAAATCCTTGTATACAATTTTTGAATATTTTTATGAAGCAAAAAATGTTGTCTTCATATAGGTAAATGAAGAAATAGTAATACCTAAGTACTAGTAGTAATAACTTATGGTAAGTTTTTTTTTTATGTGTTATGTGTATATAACAAAAGTATTATCATTAATCTACTGGCAAGCCAAAAAAAATTTTCCGGTCTGAAATATTACCCTAATCCAGAATATAACAATAAAACCTATGTATAAACACATGTGTTTTATTCAATTTTCATTCTAAATAATTCCAGGTATTTACTGCAATATATTTCATAATATATAATGCTATAATAATTACTTATTTCTTCCCAAATAGCCGCAGTACGATCAAACGAACATGTCGCCAATATTTGACCAAATTCTGGATGTGCCCAAGTCACTTTCCAAACTGACCCACAGTGTGCTTTCCAGCTAGCAGACAAATTCCAAGTTCCTTGTTCATCTTGGTCCCAAACCTATAAATCAAAATATTATAAGGAGTCAAGTAAGTACACAATTGTTAAATTAATTAATATTCATATTAATCCATATATTTACCTTAACAAACTGGTCTGTTGAACATGTTGCCATTCTTTCTCCGTAATAATCAAATGCAACATCGTGTATTAAGTCTTTGTGTTCCGCATTAATGCTATGAGCTTCGACCATATTTAAAATGTATACAAAAACGATAAATTTAAATAAATTGTATTCGTACAATGCAGAATACAAATTCAAATTCAGCTCAACTACTATCTATTATTATTATTTTATGTTTTCAATGATAAAAATATATTTTAGGTTAAGTGATTATATTTTTCCTTCTATGATATTTACTACTTATATTCTCTTTGACACTCGATCGATTGTTTCACGGCTGGCGCCAGGATGTCGTTGAAGATACAAAAGGGTAAGTTTATTATGGCTTTTTGAACATGTATTGATTTTTGGAATTGTGTGGGCTTAACGAAATGGTCTGGGAAGCTTACAAAAGTATTGTCTTTTATTCTCATATAACTTCTAAACAAATTATTGTTTTTAGCCTAATTTTATTTCAGTTGATTTAACTATTTAAATAATTATATGATTATAATTATAGGTATAATAGATATTAGGTATCCTATCTAAATAATAAATGCTGGATAATAAACGTCTAATAATAAATAATACAAATTTACAATTTGTAGGTAGGTGCACAAAAAAAAAATAATCTAATATCCTACTAATATACATGTAAGCAAATATGGAAAAATAATAACATACCTACAGGTAACTATGTCTATTTTTCATAGATATAGGTACCTATTTAAAGGCAGGAAATAAAATATATTATAATAGGTAAAATATAAAATACACACCCTACCTTCACATTTTTTTTTCGAAAAAATGTTAACTTATTTTTTTTTGTTTAATGACTATACTATACCTAGTTTTTAATTTTAACGTTTTCCTCAAAAATTTAATCGCGTGAACAATTTAGTTGGATCCGAAGAGACAATGAGGAAGATTATCTGAAATATAGACTTATAGTGTTAGAAACTATTGTGAATTAAGGTGATTGTGTAGAATAAAATGCAAGTTAAAAACATTAATACCTATGTATTAAATCGAAGATAAGTAATAAGTAGGATTATAAATTATGGTTTCCCCAGGCACTTAAAGCCAGAATTTTTTTTGTTTTTTTCTGGGAGGTGGAATCTAAACATAAAATTTATCACTAATTACTAATAATCTGATATATTGGTGAGAAGTTTACATTTTTTGGGGGGGAGGGAGAAGTCCAGAGTCCATGGACCCTCTTTGACTACATGCCTAATGGTACCTATTGATAAAATACATGGCTACCTATAAGAGTTCTAGGTTAAACATCTCAATTTATAATTTTAAAACATTTTGAAAAACTTTTTTAATAAGCAAGCTATGCTGTTTCTGAGGGGTCGAGACGATGACGATTCCGAACCCTTCCGTTTGAAATTTGTATGTTAGGTATGTTTATGTAAATATATAATATGAGAATATGTGAATCATAGACGTAAATAATTATTAATTAGGAAGGTACCCATGACGCGTGTATCCCATACTGAATTTTTAAGTTTACGGTTTTTTAGAAATAATAATTTTAACTTACGCAATAAAAACGTGAAAGAGCTGTAAAGAGCACTCATTTTTAAAACTTATTATAATAATAATTATTATTATTATGTAAGCATAAATAAAATATTTTTTATAATAATTATTAAAACATCGATTTAAACACGATACATTTTCTATATTATAATTATTTCGAACGTACGCTGTAAATATTCCAAAAATATTAGTAGAGTTTGAATTATTAAAACTATTCTCTTAAATTTGAAAATGTTCAAATTTGTGTGTACCCTCTTCCTAACTTCCATACAGAGATAGATTAGAGCAATGGTGTCATTAAAAAATGTTTTTCGAAGTAACTGCTTCTATATAGTTACTTAACGGGCGAGTGGATATAATTATTTGCGGTAGAAAAGTTCGTGGCGTCAGTGTCAGGGGGGGATGGTGATAATCATTTTTCGCATCAGTTATTAATTTTTTTTTTAATTATCTGTATAAATTAAAAATTTGTTTGGGCCATTATGGAGGAAATTTATTTATTTATTTGTTTACTGATATTGCAAGTATATTCAGCAGAACAGAGACGGACACAAGTGAGGTTTGGGAGATCAACTGACTCAAATTTTGTATTATTATGTAACCCCCTATTTTGACATAAATACAATTTTATCTGAAAAAATATATGTACCTAAAATAATAATAATTTTTAAATTCTACACAGTCCCTCTCAAATCTCCATAATACATATGTGGTGTATATCCATCAATTGACTAACAATTTATTAAAATGCAATTAATACAAATTCTTAATATCAACTTTTATTATATAAGTTTGTAAAATTGATGAAGTTTTTATATAAATTAGTAGAAAAATATAAAAATAAATGAAGTTAATTGCGAGCAAAGCGACGGCTTTGGTTTATTTCCTACACAGATAGCCTCTCTCTCTCGTGAGCTTTGCTGACTCACAGATATATAAAATCCTGAGTACGCCAAACTGTAAAATAATACGAATTATTACTGTGAGGTTTATTTTTACTGTTGATTGTTCAATTGAAACATAAATCTGCTTTTGAGAGAGACGTATATGTAATATGTATAGTATATCTATAAGACATCAATGTCATTAGTGACAAGTCCAGAAAACAATTTCATCAGGACGAAGGATTTCTAATTTTCTGCTCAATCCTCTCCACATCATTGCATCATTTCACACTAAAATATAAATTTAATTGATTTTTAATTTTTAAATACATTATAGATACATATGTGCTTATTTATATTTTCTTTTAAATAATGCCACTAGACGCATAGTCCAATAGATAGGCCCAGGCCTACCTTCATTTTTTTGAACTATTATACCATTAATTAGAAATTACTAAATTAGTGTTTTATTTTATTATTTTTTTTTTTTGACATCATGACTTAAAACGAAAAAAATAAATATAATATCTTATTAACCGCGTATTGAGTGCATCTAAAGAGAGTTAAATTCAGAGTTAATTCAAGATCATATACAACGATTATTATTGACGAGTTTGCTAAATTGAAAATAAAATAATTAAATTTACTATAATAATAACACAACTAAATAAATATAAATATAAATTTATACTGGGAAAAAAAAATGAGTACACACAAATTATACTTATAACCAGCCTACTGTCAAAATGTTTAACGTCTCTGATTGTCATTCAGATTCTGAACGCGCGTAGTGAAAATATAATATAAGTACCTTAGATACTTAGATTCTAGTCTATATATTATAAGTCTCCTTTTCTATTTAAATAACTTAAGAAATACAATTGAATAAAAAAAAGAACTGAAAGACTTTTTTAAAGTATAATCTAGACAACTTGAGCTTTCATAAAGAATGCTACACTTAAAAATCTGAGGAAGTTTACTTGGAAAAAACGTGTCCACAGACTAGAGCAAAGAAAGAAAATAATAAACATCTTAGTAAAACCAATAGCTTACACTCAGAATCTAAAATCCCACCCACCGGCCGGATCAGTTAGGCGAGCTACCAAGAAAATCTCGGTAGGCCGCTTAAAGTTTGGGCCGGACGTGATGTAAGTGTTTATGAAAAAAAATGCATGTTTAAAGAAGTTGTCATAGGAGACGGTTATTGAGACGGCCACTGTTATTAGTGGAAAGTTGAATGGGTAGAATACAGAAGGGAATTTATTGTACATCTTTTTTAACGATAAACCATTGCTTACGAGAAAAACGATTCTGAGTGAAATTCAGTTGATAGTGATGCTTTGTTAACAAAATATAATATGACATATAAAAATGCCGTAATATATATTTTTTTTTTTAACATACCTACATTTCGTAAGTTTCGTACTGCCCCCAATTCAAATTTCGCTAAACATGTTTTAGAAAATAACTCTTTTATAATTTTCGATATTAATACGGATTTAGAAATATTAAATACCTAAAATAGCATTAATTAATTAAAATTAATTTACATTAATTTAGTTTTAGAAGAATTACACATATACAATAAAATTAAGAAAATTTAATAATATTTTAAATGTTCAAACCGATTTTAAAAATATTATCTTAAATCAATACATTTTAGATAGTAAATAATAACCAAATAATTTATATTTCTTAACATATCTATGTCTAATAATAACTAATTTTAAATAATCTCTCCTATTAAAATAAATTATTTCTATATTCTTTGTAAAACGACCAATTGGTATAATTTTTTTTTCTATGTATTCTTTCATTTAATTGTTTATATTAAGTCGCGTTTTATATTTTGACTGTGATATATATATCTGATGATAAATTTTTAATTTGAAACCGAAATACACTTCTCAATACTTCAGCCGACGCATTGATTAATTAATTAATTTTATTTTTATACATACATTTTTTATTTATATATTTATTTGCTTTAAATATTATTAAAGAAAATATATAATGCATATTATGTAGTTGTGTGATATATATGTCATATAACTACACTGAAAGAACTTATAAGTATATAATATTATATTGTTGACAAAACAAAAATATCAACTGAACTTCGCTTAAAATCATTTTTCGTTAGCAAAGATTAATCGTACGGTGTATATCCGTATCTTTTTGAAATAAAAAAAAATCTAAAAGATTTAAAATTTTACATTATCTACCATTATTTTTTGTCACCCTTATTTTTGGGAGTTAAACGACTGCCAACTTTTGATTTTAAAATGGTAACCTATATTAAAAGTTCCATATTTAGATGAAGTATTACTTTAAATACATTTTGGTGTTAACATTTTTAATTTCCGTTAACAAAATATTTCACTTTTAAGTTTAGACAAATGGCTGAGTGAAAGTAGTGGACTATCATTTGTGTGGCGACACGGCGTACGGCGTTTATACTTTTATTAGTGGTCCACTATTCTCCTCCTATATACATTTAAAAGTGAATTATCTCGTTAACGGGTTGGCGGAAATCAAAAATGTTGACACCAAAATTTATTTAAAGTAATACTTCATCTAAATATGGTACTTTTAATATATGATCTCATTTCAAACACCAAAGCTGGTATCGCCACAGTTGTGAAAAATCTAAGTATTTGAAAATATCGGCTTTAATCACACTTAAAAAAATCCAAAAATCAGAATTTGAATATAATTAATAAAGTTTAACTAAAAAAATGGGATGATCACGCTTAATATATAATTGTAATCTTAAAATAC